AGCTAATAGCTAACAGCTAAAGCCCAACAGCTTGCGCTACCAGCTTCCACTGGCTCCGCCGCCGCCGCCGCTGCCGCCACCAAATCCGCCAAAGCCACCGCCTCCTCCGCCACCGCTCCAACCACCGCCGCCGCCACCTGTCCAGCCACCGCCGCCCCTGCCGCTGTTCAGGAATGTATCCACCAGCAGCCAGGGTAGAATGCCTTTCCTGCTCATCATACCGCCACCGCCTTTACCGCCGCCTGTGCGAGAGAGAATGAACAGGATGATAAGGAAAATAAGCGCAACGCCTAATATAGAACCTCCACCCTTTGACTTTCGGTTAGTGTAATTGTCGGGCGCCTTGTATTTGCCCGCTGCTGCCAGTATAATGGCATCTGTCGCCTCGTCGAAACCCCTGTAGTAGTTCTGGGTCCGGAAATTGGGTACTATTTCCCTGTCAATGATGGTCTTGGCAAGCAGGTCGGTAATGGAACCTTCCATTCCGTAACCGGTCTGTATGGTGATTTTCCGATCTTGTATAGCCGCTACCAGTACCACCCCATTGTTGGTTTTTTTATTACCTACACCCCAATCCCTCAAAATTTTTAGTGCATAGTCTTCAATGGATGCGCCATTTATGGTAGGCACCGTTACCACCACAATCTGGGTGGAAGTGCTGTCGTCATAGGCCACCAATTTACTTTCCAGCGCCTGAAGCTGGTCGGCCGACAATACTTTAGCATAGTCGTTCACCAACCGGGGTGGGTTAGGCGGGGTAGGTATGTCCTGGGCCTGCAGCGCAATTGTAAGAAGTATTAAGAGAGAAACCAATAGTCGCTTCATTCAGCAAAAATTTAAAGGGGCCGGTCACTGACCGGCCCGCAATTATCTACCAAAAACAATTTCATCGGGCAGCTCATTCTTATCAGTATCGTTGTTATAAGGGAAATGAGTATGCAAAGCTTCTCCAATTTCGTTAACCACCTGTACAATGCCGCTGGCATAATGCTGCTTATTGAATTGCTGCAGCATTTTTGCAACCGAGGCATTCCAGAAATCAGCGCCTGTTTTCCGGAAGATACCTTCATCGCCAAATACGGCCAGCTGGTGATCTTTGGTAGCCAGGTAGATTAATGTGGCGTTTTTGTCTTCTGTTTTGTCCATTTTTAATCCATAGAATACTTCGGCCGCCCGGTCCAGCGCATTTACATACTTGCACCGGGGCTCTACGTATACCCTTATTTCGCCACTTGTTCTTTTTTCAGCTACTTTGATGGCGTTTACCACGAGGTCTTTCTCTTCGGTGGTAAAAAAATCGGCTTTACTGAATAATGAGAAGATGCCCACGATGATTAGTTAAATTTTATTTCAATGGCCTTATCGGCATTTACAACAGCTTCAAACCCTTCTTTTGTTTTAAAGGAAAAAAGACGGGCAGCGATACTGGAAGGAAAACTTCTTACGCTGTTATTATAATCTGCCACGGCAGCATTAAAATCCTTTCTGGCTACTTTTATCCTTCTTTCTGTGCCTTCCAGCTGGGTTTGAAGTCCTGCAAAAGCAGCCGTTCCCTTCAAAGCAGGGTATTTCTCTACGCTGATTAAAAGGCGGTTGGTAGCCGATGCAAGGTTGTCCTGCGCTGCCTGCTGCTGCTGGTAGGTTGCTGCACTGGGATTGGTGGAAGATACGCTTACCTGTGCAGCCCTGCTTCTTGCCTCAGCAATATTTTCAAGGGTGGTCTGTTCAAAATCTGCCAGCCCCTTTACCGTATTCACCAGGCTGGGAACCAAATCCAGCCTGCGCTGGTACACATTCTGTATTTCATTCCACTGCAGTTTTATCTTTTCTTCTTTGCGCACCAGTGTATTATAAGCTGTGGCCAGATAAATACCGGCAACAACAAGAATGGCTGCAATAACCAGAACGGGTAGTTTTTTCCCTGTCATTATATATGCTATTTAGAGAAATCCACTTTTGGTGCGTTTTCGCTACCCGGGTCAGCTTTGAATCCTTCTTTCTGCGAGAAGCCAAACATGCCTGCCAGCAGGTTCATGGGGAAGGAGCGTACCTTGGTATTATAGGTGTTGATTTCATTGTTAAACTGCATACGGGCATTCTTTATATTACCTTCTATACCTTCCAGCTGGTTTTGCAACTGGGTAAAATTCTGGGTGGCTTTCAGGTCGGGGTAGTTTTCCACTACTGCCAGCAGGCGACTTAAAGAACCCGTTAATTCGCCCTGTGCCTGTTGAAATTTAGCCATGTTCTCCGGGGTAAGGTTATCCGCGTTTACGTTTACCGAAGTTGCTTTGGCCCTTGCTTCTACCAGTTTAGTGAGGGTTTCCTGCTCAAAATTAGCGGCTCCTTTTACGGTATTCACCAGGTTGCCTACCAGGTCTGACCTGTTTTGGTATTCTGCCTGTACATTGTTCCATGATTTTTTTACGCTTTCGTCCTGCTTCACCAGCCCGTTATAGCCGCTGCAACCGCAACCGCCAAGGATCAGAATTAAGGCCAGAACAACAATAAGAGTGAGGTTTCTTGTCATAATTGTAAATTTTGTATTACGGGTTAAAGTTAACGGATTTCAATACTTGCTGCATTTTTTCGGGAAGGACGGTAAGTGCAGAAAATAAAGCAAAAAATATTGATCTCCAGAATGCCCTGTTGACGTGGCTTTCAGGCGAAAGGTTGTTTTATGAGGGAAAGATCCTGCAATTAAATTTGGTAATGATATGCATCTGGTTATCTTTGCAGCCCGATTTGAAAAAAAAGGGTAACAAGTTCTTAATACTGAGGGAGTAACTGCAACAAAACAACGCTCATTGCCGCAAAGCAGCCATTGAAAAAAACTTGCTAAAATTTGCAATTAAATTTGGTAGGTAATTATAGCTGATTATCTTTGCACCCCGATTGAAAAAAGAGGGAATAAGTTCTTAATACTGAGGCAGTAAGCGCAGCAAAACAAGGTTCTTTAAAGACGCAGATGACAAAAAAAACTTGCTAAAATTTGCAATTAAATTTGGTAGGTAATTACATCTGGTTATCTTTGCACCCCGATTGAAAAAAAGGGAAATAAGTTCTTAATAATGAGACGGTAAGTGCGAAAGAATTTTGAGAAATAGTTGAATAAAATTTTGTTGTAAAAGTATCTCACTGTATCTTTGCAATCCGCTCAAAAAAAGAGCGGAAATTAACACTAGCTCTTCGAATAAAGTCTCTTGAAAAATCAGCAAAAAAAATGCTGAAAAAGTAAAGAAAAATTTTGTTTGAATACATACGGCTCTTACCTTTGCACCCCAATCAAAAAATTGGGTGGCGAAAAAGGCCAAAAGTTCTTTGAAAGATTGGAAACAATAACATTCTATAGCAATATAGAAGTAAGGTTTAAGCGACATATAATTAACCGATCACACACGTTGATTTTTTTGAAAAATTATTGACGCCAAATGGTCAAAACTCATTTACAATGGA